CCGGTTCCCCCCCCGGTAGACCCCCTCCCCCCTCAGGTTCCTGCCCCCTCAGGTGTGTCCCAGGTAGACGCCGTTGACCCGGTCGAGGTTACTGGTGACTCTGGTGCTGCTGCGGGTGCTGAGCCTGGGGGTGCTGACTCTGGGGGTGCTGTTCACGGGGGTGCTGAGCCTGGGGGTGCTACTGCTGGGGGTGCTGGGCCTGAGGGTGCTACTGCGGAGGGTGCGGAGCCTGGGGGTGCTGAGCCGGGGGGTGCTGTGCCTGGAGGTGCTGGGTCTGGGGGTGCTGGGTCGGGAGCTGCTGAGCCTGGGGGTGCTGCGTCTGGAGCTGCTGAGCCTGGGGTTTCTCCTGCTGCTGCGTCTCGCCGGGAGCCCCTCTCTCCACAGGAGCTGCGCGAGTGGTTCGCTCGCCGCTCGAGGCGTGCTGCTGAGTCTGGTGGTGCTGCTGGAGCTGGAGCTGGAGCTTCTTCGACCGTCGAGGGTGCGGGTGCAGCCGGTCCCGGAGCTGCTGGCCCTGCAGGTCCTCCTGGAGCTGGAGCTGCTGAGGGCGTTCGTGCTGAGCCTGCTGCTGTTGGTCCTGCCGCTGGAGGTGTGGGTGGCGCTGGTGCTGTCGCTGAGGGTGCTGGTGCTGTCCCTGCTGAGTCTGGAGCTGCCGCGCGGCCTCGGCCGTACTTCGTTCCGCTCCTTCAGCAGGTTCTTGGTCTTTCTCCTCCAGTAGAGGGTCCACCGCCGGTCCAGTCGCAGCCCCTACTGGAGCCTTCCTCTCCACTGCCTGCTCCCTCTCCTTACACTGGTCCTACTGGAGGTCTTGCTGAGCGTCGTGAGCCTGCGTCTCGTCCCGTGTCGCCTATTCGTGCTGCTCGCGCTAGTGGTCGCAGTTCGCGTCAGCGTCCTCCTCCTGTCCCTGGCACGCACCGGATGTCTTTACGTCCGTCCACTGCTCCTCTGCGTGCCCCTTTGCCTTCTCCTCCTGAGTCCTCTCTTCCTGCGCTTGCGGACCCTGAGTCGGACTCTCTTCGTGCTGCCAGTCCCACTGTCACGTGTCTGCTTGCTACTGTCGTCACTGACCCCTCCTTTGAGTCCACTGCTGCGTCTGCTCTAGTCGCTGAGCTCGTCGACTTTGCTGCTCGCTGTCGTCTCGACTACGCTGCTAGTCTTGTTGCTGAGTCTGCGTCTGTCTGTCCTCCGTCCGTCAGGGGTGAGTGTGCTCTTGGCACGGACGTCCTAGAGGACAGGCAGGAGGAGTTCCAGTGTCTAGCGGCTGCTTCACCTCATCTCGCGTCTGTACTGCTTGCCCCTGAGGGAGACCCGGATGCACTAGACATCTCGACTCCGCGTTCTTACGCGGAGGCCGTAGAGGGTCCCTACTCCTCTCAGTGGCAGGCAGCTATGGATGCAGAGATGGCTTCCTGGAAGTCCACAGGCACCTACGTTGACGCGGTTCCCCCTCCTGGGGCGAACATCGTCAGTGGCATGTGGATCTTCAGGGTGAAGCGGCCGCCGGGCTCTCCACCTGTCTTCAAGGCACGGTACGTTGCTCGTGGCTTCAGTCAGCGGCAGGGAGTTGACTACTTTCAGACCTTCTCTCCCACCCCGAAGATGACTACTCTTCGGGTGCTGCTGCACATAGCCGCTCAGCGCGACTACGAGCTTCACTCTCTCGACTTCAGCACTGCGTTCTTGCAGGGTAGCCTGCACGAGGAGATCTGGCTTCGCCGTCCACCTGGCTTCACTGGGACTTTCCCTCCTGGCACCCAGTGGAGCCTCCGACGGCCAGTCTACGGTCTCCGCCAGGCACCGCGTGAGTGGCACGACACACTGAGGACTACGCTTGCGGCTCTTGGGTTTGCTCCTTCTACTGCTGACCCGTCGCTGTTTCTTCGCACCGACACTTCCCTGCCGCCGTTCTACATCCTCGTGTACGTCGACGACCTGGTCTTTGCCACAGCGGACACTGCTGGACTCGCCTACGTGAAGTCCGAGCTGTTGAAGAGACACACGTGCACAGACCTGGGTGAACTGCGCAGCTACCTTGGCTTGCAGATCACTCGGGACAGAGCACGCCGCACCATTACCTTGACTCAGTCACACATGGTGCAGCAGGTCCTTCAGCGCTTCGGCTTCACGTACTCCTCGCCTCAGGCCACTCCTCTGCCTACTCGCCACTCACTCTCAGCTCTGCTTCGGATGAGTCCGTAGAGTCGAGTGGTCCGTATGCGGAGCTTGTTGGCTGCCTCATGTACCTGATGACCTGCACACGACCTGACCTTGCATACCCTCTGAGCATTCTTGCACGCTATGTTGCTCCTGGGAGACACAGACCGGAGCACATGGCTGCAGCAAAGAGGGTATTGCGCTACCTGTGCAGTACGTCAGGCATGGGGCTAGTGCTTGGAGGGCGGAGTCCAGTGGTCCTTACCGGCCACGCGGACGCTTCTTGGGCTGACGACCAGGCTACGCAGCGGTCGTCACAGGGTTACACCTTCAGCCTTGGTTCCGACTCTGTCTCGTGGCGGTCTACTCGCTCGTCTTCGGTTCTCGGCTCCAGTTGTGAGGCTGAGATCTACGCCGGGGCCATGGCTGCACAGGAGCTTCGCTGGCTCACCTACCTGCTGACTGACCTTGGAGAGCCGCCTCGTTCTCCTCCAGTGCTGTACGTAGACAACAAGGCTATGCTGGCCTTGTGTCGAGAGCAGCGCTTGGAGCACAGAACGAAGCACATTGCTCTCCGCTACTTCCTTGCTCGTGAGCTGCAGCAGCGTGGTCAGTTGCGACTTGCGTACGTGGCCTCTGAGGCCAACACTGCTGATGTGTTCACCAAGGCACTTGCGCCTTGTGACCATCAGCGCTTCTGCACCCAGCTGGGTCTTGTGCCTGTCTTGCCTCACTTGCTCTCCTCTTGACTTCACTTGTACTGTGACATATATATATACCTGCTCTTGCTTGTCTAGCTTTATATATATGTCTGTACTCTTGCTTGTGAACTGGCCTTTGGCCTTGCTCTTGTGCTCGGACTGTGTGGTGACTTTGTGATCCACCCTGAGCTTTGCTTTGTCTTGCTTGACTGGTCTTGTGACCCCTTGTTCTCCCCCACTTTGCCTATGGGGGTGTGTCAGAACATATCTATAGCTTATACTGCTGTGTAGGCTGTAGTGGGGTATCCCATAGGGGGTACAACCCAGTTAGGGTTTCATATTTGTACTGCTTTCATTCATAGTTCATTCATTCTTGTTTTCTTATTTTCACATGTGGATCTTCAGGGTGAAGCGGCCGCCGGGTTCTCCGCCTGTCTTCAAGGCACGGTACGTGGCTCGTGGCTTCAGTCAGCGACAGGGAGTTGACTACTTTCAGACCTTCTCCCCCACCCCGAAGATGACCACTCTTCGGGTACTGCTGCACGTTGCTGCTCACCGGGACTACGAGCTGCACTCTCTCGACTTCAGCACAGCTTTCCTGCAGGGCAGCCTGCACGAGGAGATCTGGCTGCGTCGCCCACCTGGCTTCACTGGGTCTTTCCCTCCTGGTACCCAGTGGAGTCTCCGGCGTCCAGTCTACGGTCTCCGCCAGGCGCCACGTGAGTGGCACGACACACTGAGGACTACGCTTGCGGCTCTTGGGTTCGCTCCGTCTACTGCCGACCCGTCGCTGTTTCTGCGCACCGACACCTCTCTGCCGCCGTTCTACATCCTCGTGTACGTCGACGACTTGGTCTTTGCCACACCTGACACTACTGGACTCGCCTACGTGAAGTCCGAGCTGCAGAAGAGACACACGTGCACTGACCTGGGTGAACTGCGTAGCTACCTTGGCTTGCAGATCACCCGGGACAGAGCACGCCGCACCATTACCCTGACTCAGTCACACATGGTGCAGCAGGTCCTTCAGCGCTTCGGCTTCATGTACTCCTCGCCTCAGGCCACTCCTCTGTCTACTCGCCACTCGCTCTCAGCTCTGCCTTTGGATGAGTCCGTAGAGTCGAGTGGCCCGTACCCAGAGTTTTTTGGCTGTCTCATGTACCTGATGACCTGCACACGACCTGACCTTGCATACCCTCTTAGCATTCTTGCACGCTATGTTGCTCCTGGGAGACACCGACCAGAGCACATGGCTACAGCGAAGAGGGTGTTGCGCTACTTGTGCAGTACGTCGGGCATGGGGCTAGTGCTTGGAGGGCGGAGTCCAGTGGTCCTCACTGGACACGCAGACGCTTCTTGGGCTGACGACCAGGCTACGCAGCGGTCGTCACAGGGTTACACCTTCAGCCTTGGTTCCGGCTCTGTTTCGTGGCGGGCTACTCGCTCGTCTTCTGTTCTTGGCTCCAGTTGTGAGGCTGAGATCTACGCAGGGGCCATGGCTGCTCAGGAGCTTCGCTGGCTCACCTACCTGCTGACCGACCTTGGAGAGCCGCCTCGTTCTCCTCCAGTCCTGTACGTTGACAACAAGGCCATGCTGGCCTTGTGTTGGGAGCAGAGACTGGAGCACAGAACAAAGCACATTGCTCTCCGCTACTTCCTTGCTCGTGAGCTACAGCAGCGTGGTCAGTTGCGACTTGCGTACGTGGCCTCTGAGGCCAACACTGCTGATGTCTTCACCAAGGCACTTGCGCCTTGTGATCATCAGCGCTGCTGTACCCAGCTGGGTCTTGTGTCTGTCTTGCCTCACTTGCTCTCCTCTTGACCCTCTTTTTACTGTTACATATATATATATCACTGCTCTTGCTTGTTTAGTCCTATATATATATCTGTACTCCTGCATGTGAACTGGCCTTGCGCTTGTGCTCGGATTGTGTGGTGACGTTGTGATCCACCCTGAGCTTGCTTTGTTTTGCTTTACTTGACTGGTCTTGTGACCCCTAGTTCTCCCCCACTTCGCCTATGGGGGTGTGTCAAACATTATATATGTTGTTGTAGTTGTTTAGGCTACAGTGGGTTAGCCTATAGGGGGTACACATTCCTAGGTTTTGATACTTGTACTCTTTTCACTCTTAGTTCATTCATTCTTGTTCAACAGCTCGACCCTGGCCGACGGGTGAACGTGGCCAAGTGTCGGCCTGTCCTAGCATATGTGCAGTGTGTCACCCGCTGACTCGCAGGAGTGAACTGGTCAACCCCCCTATCCTGTAGGTCTGCTCCACTCACCAAGTTCGTAGAGAACGAGGGGAGGTAGAGACCTAACAGGGTGCCAGAGGGGGCTGCCGGGCACGGTAAGACAGTGGAGAAGCTAGCAAGGAGAGGACCCCCAGAGGGGTCCGCTAGGGAGACTGCAACCGCCCGATTGAGCGGCGTAAGAGTGGTGCGGTCTCGAAAGAAGGAGCAGGACGCACGCGAGTCGAGAGTGAAGGTGTGTGAGGCCTGAGCCGATGAAGTATCTGAGAGAGCAGACTCACCAGCACCTGGGGCAGCACACGCACTAGCATCTGGGGCAGCAGACGCACTAGCACCTAGAGCAGCAGCCTCACCAGCACCTTGCGAAGCAGCCTCAATGCCCGGGTCAGGCGGTACACACAGGTAACAGTCACCCTCAACACTAGTGGTCACAGAATACATGGCAGCAAGGATAGCATCATAGTCAAGATCAAAGATGGCAACCCCCGCCCTATGCAGATCTCCCCAGCGAGGGATCTCTTACGCCTCAGGGAACTGGCGACACCACGCATCCTCCAGGCGACCGAAGCAGCGCTGGGTGGAGTGCGGGCCACCGCACTGCTCACCAGCTCGGTCGCCAGTACGGAGGACGTAAGTGTAGGGACCAAAGCCCCCACCGCGCTGATGCGCAGTGTACCTGTCACGAAGCTGTTGAGGGGACAGGGTCACGCCACTCCGCTGCTGCTGGCGCGGATCACCACCTGAGCCACTCCTCTGTGCAGAGTCGCGACCGGCTCCACCACCGCCACCGCCGCCGCTTCTGCCGCCTCTTCCACCTCCGCCTCCTCCGCCACCTCCGCCGCCTCCGCTCCCTCCGCCACCACCGCCGCCTCCTCCGCCTCCACTGCTGCCGCCGCTGCCGCCACCCCTGGCACCACTCCCACCACCACCCCCACTCCCTCCACTGCCTCCACCACCACCTCCACTGCCCCCACCAGCCCCTCTAGCGCCCTTGCCCCCCTTGCCCTTGCCGGTGCGGCGTCTCCCGCTCGGGGCAGACGCAGCGTTGACCGACTCGAAACCAAAGAGGTCGGACGCAGCAGCAGAGGCAACAGAGGGTAAGAGGGGGGAGGGAGAACACCCCTCAAAGACGGGGGTGCGAGGGTCACCACGAGAGGCTCTTACAGCAACTATGCTCTTCTCTGCTGCTAGAAGGGCCTTCTCGAGGAGGTCAATGGTGAGAGTGGTGGGGCAAACTGAAAGGAAGTGGTCCCAGACTACGCGGAGAGAGTCAGGGAGCCGGGTGACTATGTAGTAGAGGGTGATGTACATGGGGGGGGGGGGGGGGTTCTTGGCGCAGAACTCAGCAGGAAGCGCAGCGCGGTAGCGAGTGTCACTAGTGCGGAGGTGCGTAATGAGGTCAGCGACTGTGGGAAAGGCAAGAAGGTCAGGGAAGATGTACGGTAGCATGAGGCGGCTCAGCGCAGCAGTGGCAGGGGAAGAGTAGCGTGCAACTACAGCGTCGTACAAGGTGTGAGCACTCTTGTACTGGCTAAAGTGTGCACGCTCAGTGGTCGGTAAGTGGCGGCGCACAGCAAGGCGAGCAGCAGCAACGCGCGTGGCCCACTGTGAGCGAACAGTGGCATCACCATCAGCAGCAGGGGTATGAGAGGCACCAGAAGTGAGGTCAAACAGGGAGAGACCGTCTGCCCTGTCGCATCATCTACCCAAACCTCAAAGTCAACTGCTCGACCCTCAACGTCAAAGGTGAGAACACTAGGGGTGGCCATGAGAGTAGTAGACAGGCAGTGAGTATAGTGGGACAGGGCAGTGCAGTGGCAGAGGCGCTGCTCTTACCAGGTAAGTGAGGCAGTCCTGGGCAGGCCGACACGCGGCGGCGCCTCGGCTGCACTGCGGCTCGGCGGAAAAATGCGGCTCGGCGGCAAAGGCGGCTCGGCGGCTCGGCTGCATAGGCGGCTCGGCGGCGCAGCAGCTAGGTGGCTTGGCAGCGCAGCGGCTCGGCAGCTCGGCGAGGCCGCTGAAGGGCGACGAAGGGGCCGCTGAAGGGCTGCGACGGGGCCGCTGAAAGGGCGGCGACGGGGCCGCGGAAGGGCGGCGACGGGGCCGCTGAAAGGGCGGCGACGGGGCCGCGGAAGGGCGGCGACGGGGCCGCTGAAAGAGCGGCGACGGGGCCGCGGAAGGGGTGGGCGGCGACGGGGCCGCTGAAAGGGCGGTGACGGGGCCTCGGAAGGGCGGCGACGGGGCCACTGAAAGGCGGCGACGGGGCCGTTGAAGGGCGGCGACGGGGCCGCAGTTAGGGGCGACGACGGGGCCGCTGAAAGGGCGGCGACAGGGCCGCCTAAGGGCGGCGACGGGGCCGCAAGAAGGGCGGCGACGGGGCCTTAAAGGGCGCGATAGAGCTGCTGAGAGGGCGGCGCGACGGGGCCGCAAGGGCGGCGCAACTGGGCCACTAGGGGCCGTAAGAGGGGCCACTAGAGGGCGCGAGGGGGAACGACACGGGGCGCGACTCAGGCAAGGGCCAAGCGCGCTCCGGGCAGGAAAAAAAAGTTCGGTGGGCCCTAGGAACAGTTCCCACGAGGGAACCAGCTCTATACCATGTCAAGATTAGAACGAGAGAATGAATGCATTGAGCAGAATAAAGACTACAAATAGTAAACCCTAAAGTGTTGTACCCCATATGAACTACCCCACTACAGCCTACATAGACTATAGCATATATGCCTGACAACCAAGAGGAAACGACCCAGTAAAGCCAGGTGGGCGGCGCAGCCAGATTTCCTCGTGCAGGCTGCCCTGCAGAAAAGTTGTGCTGAAGTCAAGAGAGTGAAGCTCGTAGTCGCGCTAAGCGGCTATGTGCAGCAGCACCCGAAGAGTGGTCATCTTTGGGGTGGGAGAGAAGGTCTGAAAGTAGTCAACTCCCTGCCGCTGACTGAGGCCTCGAGCCACGTAACACGCCTTGAAGACAGGCGGAGAACCCGGCGGCCGCTTCACCCTGAAAATCCACATGCCACTGACGATGTTCGCCCCAGGTGGGGGAACCTCGTCGACATAGGTGCCTGTGGACTTCCAGAAAGCCATCTCTGGGTCCATGGCTGACTGCCACTGAGAGGAGTAGGGACCCTTGATCGCCTCAGCGTACGATCGAGGAGTCCGGATGTCTGGTGCATCCGGGTCTCCCTCAGAGGCAATCAGCGTGGACACGAGATGAGGCAAAGCAGCAGCAAAACACTGGAACTCCTCCTGCCTGTCCTCAACGACGTCCATGCTAAGAGCACACTCACCCCCGACGGACGGAGGACAGACAGACCCCGACTCGGCAACGAGATTAGCGGCGTAGTCTAGACGACAGCGAGCAGCAAACTCGACAAGCTCAGCAACCAAGGTAGACGTAGGAGTGGACTCAAAGGAAGGGTCAGTGACAACAGTAGCCAGGAGACATGTGACAGTAGGACTAGCAGCACGAAGAGAGTCAGACTCCGGGTCAGCAAGAATATGAAGAGCGGACTCAGGATGAGACGGCAACGGGACACGCAGAGGAGCAGTGGAAGGACGCAGTGCCATCTGGTGCGTGCCTGAGACCGCTGGAGGACCCGGACGCGGAGCACGACCACTAGTGCGAGCAGCACAAACAGGCAACACAGAACGAGACGCAAGCTCATGACGCTCAGCAAGACCTCCAGTAGGACCAGTGTAGGGAGAAGGAGCAGGTAGCGGGGAGGCGGGCTATAACTGTGACTGCGGCTGGACACGCTGTGGACACTCTAAGGGAGGAGCAGGACCAGTAGAGGGCGGGAGACCAAGAACCTGCTCAAGGAGCGGAACGAAGTACGGCCTCGGCCGCGCAACGCCTCCAGAACTAGCAGGGACAGCACCAGTACCCCCAGCGGCAGCACCAGCGCCAGCAGCACCTCCAGCTCCAACAGCGCAAACTCCAATACCCTCACAAGCACCAGCGCCAGCAAAACCACCAGCGCCAACACCCCTAGCAGCTCCAGCTCCAGCAGCTCCAGCAGCACCAGCTCCAGTAGGACCGTCAGCTCCAGTACCGCCAGCAGCTCCAGCAGTACCTCCAGCACGACTAACTCCAGCAGCCCCAGCAGTACCCCCAATCCCAGCAGCTCCAGTACCACCAGTACAAGCACCTCCAGCACCAGCGGCAACACTAGTACCTCCAGCTCTAGCAGCACGGCTCCAGCGCCGGGCAAACCACTCGCGCAGCTCCTGCGGAGAGAGTAGCTCCCGCCTCGACGAAGCACCGCTAGAGGCCACACGAGCAGACCCAGCACCCCCCGGCTCCGCACCCCCAGCCTTAGCACCCCCAGACCCGGGACCCGCAGGCTTAGCGCCCTTAGCAGCACCAGAGTCAACAGCTACCTCGACAGGCTCGACCGCGTCTACCTAGGACACACCTGACGGGGCAGGACCCAGAGGGGGGAGAGGGTCTACCGGGGGAGGACTTGGCGCAAGGAAGAGCCGCGGCGGGGGGAGGGGCGCAGTGCGGTAGGGGAAGAGACGGTAGTAAGGCACCGACTCGTCAAAGGTGACGTCCTGGGAGGACAGAACACGGCGCGAGGTGGGGTGGTAAAACTGCCACCCAGGTGCGTCAGGAGGGAAGCCAAGGAAGACGCAGGGAACAGCACGAGGGGACAGCTTGTTCGCAGACGTCGCCGGAGCTGGTTCTGGCCAAGCGAGGAGCACCAGTAGCAGTAGAAAGAGTAGTAGTAGCAAGCGTAGTAGTAACACCAGTACGGGCAGGGTAGTGCTCACCAGTGGCGAGAAGGGCAGGCGTACGACGCTGGCAACGGCAAGGCCGCTACCACTGTAGGGCGAGGGCTCCGCGGCACCTGCAGGGGCGACTGCTCCAGAGACGGCTGCTCTAGGGGCGGCTGCTCCAGGGGCGGCTACTGCAGGGGAGGCTGCTCCAGGGGCGGTTGCTGCAGGGGTGGCTTCTCAAGGGGCGGTTGCTGCAGTGGCGGCTTCTCCAGGGGCGGCTGTTGCAGGGGCGGGTGCCTCAAGGGCGGCTGTTGCAAGGGTGGCTGCTCCAGGGGCGGCTGCTGCAGCGGCGGCTTCTCCAGGGGCAGCTGGTGCAGGGGCGGCTGCTCCAAGGGTGGCTACTGCAGGGGTGGCTGCTCCAGGGGCGGGTGCTGCAGTGGCGGCTGCTCCTGGGGCGGCTGCTTCATGGGCGGCTGCTCCAGGGGCGGGTGCTGCAGGGGAGGCTCCTCCAGGGGCGGCTGCTGCAGTGTCGGCTGCTCTAGGGGCGGCTGCTGCAAGGGAGGCTGCTCCAGGGGCGGCTGCTGCAGTGGTGGCTGCTCAAGGGGCGGCTGCTGCAGGGGCGGCTGCTCCAGGGGCGGCTACTCCAGGGGCGGCTGCTGCAATGGCGGCTGCTCCAGGGGCGGGTGATGTAGTGGCGGCTGCTCCAAGGGCGACTGCTGCAGTGGCGGCTGCTCGAGGGGCGGTTGCTACAGTGGCGGCTGCCCAGGGGTGGCTGCTGCAGGTATGGCTGCTCCAAGGGCGGCTGCTCCAGGGGCGGCTGCTTCAGGGGCGGCTGCTCATGGGGTGGCTGCTTCGGGGGCGGTTGCTCCAGGGGCGGCTGCTGCAGGGGAGGCTGCTCCAGGGGCGGCTGCTGCAGTGGCGGCTACTCCAGGGGCGGCTGCTGCAGTGGCGGCTGCTCCAGGGCGCGGGTTAGGGCAGGGCGTCGCGGCGGGCAGCGGTGACGCCACGCGGGTCCCGCAGGGGCGTCGCGACACGCAGGAGCCGCACCTCGCGGATCCCGCAGGGGCGACGCGACGAGGCGGGGGCGACACGGTGGTGCCGCGAAGGGCGACGGGGCGGGGTCGTTACGGGCAGCGGGGCGGGGCCGCGAAGGGGCTGCGAAGGGCGACGGGGCAGGGTCGCTACGGGCTGCGGGGCGGGGCCGTGAAGGGGCCGCGAAGGAAGCCGCGAGGGGGCCGTGTTGAACAAGAATGGATTGAACTAAGAGTGAAATGAGTACAAGTATCAAAACCTAGGAATGTGTACCCCCTATAGGCTAACCCACTATAGCCTAAACAACTACAACAACATATATAATGTTTGACACACCCCCATAGGCGAAGTGGGGGAGAACTAGGGGTCACAAGACCAGTCAAGTAAAGCAAAACAAAACAAGCTCAGGGTGGATCACAACGTCACCTTACAATCCGAGCACAAGTGCAAGGCCACAAGGCCAGTTCACATGCAGGAGTACAGATATATATATAAGACTAAACAAGCAAGAGCGGGGATATATATATGTAACAGTACAAAGAGGGTCAAGAGGAGAGCAAGTGAGGCAAGACACACACAAGACCCAGCTGGGTACAGCAGCGCTGATGATCACAAGGCGGAAGTGCCTTGGTGAAGACATCAGCAGTGTTGGCCTCAGAGGCCACGTACGCAAGTCGCAACTGACCACGCTGCTGTAGCTCACGAGCAAGGAAGTAGCGGAGAGCAATGTGCTTTGTTCTGTGCTCCAGTCTCTGCTCCCAACACAAGGCCAGCATGGCCTTGTTGTCTACGTACAGCACTGGAGGAGAACGAGGCGGCTCTCAAAGGTCGGTCAGCAGGTAGGTGAGCCAGCGAAGCTCCTGAGCAGCCATGGCCCCTGCGTAGATCTCAGCCTCACAACTGGAGCCAAGAACAGAAGACGAGCGAGTAGCCCGCCACGAAACAGAGCCGGAACCAAGGTTGAAGGTGTAACCCTGTGACGACCGCTGCGTAGCTTGGTCGTCAGCCCAAGAAGCGTCTGCGTGTCCAGTGAGGACCACTGGACTCCCCCCTCCAAGCACTAGCCCCATGCCCGACGTACTGCACAAGTAGCGCAACACCCTCTTCGCTGCAGCCATGTGCTCTGGTCGGTGTCTCCCAGGAGCAACATAGCGTGCAAGAATGCTAAGAGGGTATGCAAGGTCAAGTCGTGTGCAGGTCATCAG